TGATATTCCTCTTCAATTTATTACTTCTCTCAACACCGTATACTTGCATGAGAGTCACATAGGTAAAAATATCCGCCCCCATATGGTTTCTTTTGGTTGAATGGAATTCTAAAAGTACAATGAGGAAACAATTGGCTATATCAATTTCGACGTGCAGATCATAGTTTAAATTCTTGTGGGTTGCATATATAAAATGTAATGTAATATATAATTCAAAGCAGCTTTAAATTTATTGATATAAAAACAGCTAAAGAAATTTGAACGAACTTTCCTACAATTCAAAACCTAGAAAACATAAAGTTCTGTCAAAGATAAGCAATACCAGCAAACCATTCGACTAGTAGAAATTGTCTTATAAATAGGGAAATCATTCTTCAAGTCTCTTGCATAATCTTCTCGTTCAAGAAATTACAGCTTTAATATGAAGATGAATTTACTTTTAATTCCATTTCTCCTCCTTTCCATTTTAGCAAGTTCTCTATTTTGCGAGGCGACAAAAACACCTGAGCCGGTCCTAGACAACTCGGGGAAACCTCTCCGGGCAGATTCTGACTACTACATTTTGCCAGTAAGCAGCCAGGGCAGTGGTGGACTCGACCTGGTCAACAGCGACAAGACCTGCCCACTCCAAGTTGTTCAAAGGGGTGATGACAAATCTGGCATTCCTGTCCAATTTTTTCCAGTAAATCTCAAAAAAGGTGTCATCCGCGTCTCTACTGATTTGAACATCATGTTCAAAGACAAGTGGTCAGACAAATACAAGAAATGTCCCGAATCATCCATTTGGAAGCTCGATCACTACCATCCGTATGATCCATTGAAGAGAGAGTACTTCATTATGACTGGTGGAGTTGTAGGAAAACCTGGGCCGGAGACGCTAGGAAACTGGTTCAAGATTCAGAAAATTGAAAAATCCGGAGGCTACAAGCTCGTGTATTGTCCCAGTTTGTGCCCACATTGTAAAGTTGTCTGTAAAGATGTTGGAATTTATGTCCAGAATGGGCACAAACGCTTGGCTCTAAGCAATATTCCAATGAAGGTTACATTTAAGAAGGCATAAAGGAGTATCCACTCCAGGGAGGGAGCAACTAAGTGATGCATGCTTTATCTTCTTTATGAATATAAAACATGCGACATATGGTGGTTTAAAAGAATAATATGTGTGCTACTATGTAATTTCAATAACATGTTATATACATGCTTGTCTTTTTCACTAAAGTTGTATAAATAAGACTCGTTTTCATAAGGCCATTATTCGATCCTCTAATTGTTTGGAGGTATAACCCATTGAGTGATTAAAAATGAATAACGATGGACAAAATAATTTTGAGGGG